AATCATGAAATTTGTAGGTAAATGGATGGAACTAGAAACTGTTATACTAAGTGAAGTAACACAGACTCAGAAAAAGAAATTGACATATGTTCTCCTTCATATGTGGATCGTAGAACCAGACTCTGATAAATAAGTATGCAACCAGACATAACTACAGGAACCAGGTTATGGAAAGGAAAAAAGGGAGGTAAAGGAAAAGAAAGAACCTGAAAGAGAACAGTAGGAAACAGGCCTTAACAAGGGAGATATGGATAAAAATTGGGTTAGTTTAAGGGACGGGGGAGGGAATGGTATACAAGGAACCTAGGGGATAAAGGGAAAGAAGGAGAGCTCAGCTTTTTGTGTGTGGTGTACTGTTGTAACTGAGGGCAACCAATAGGAGACTTGGGCTGTTACCAAGATGCTGGTTCCTGTGGAGCAATATCCTTCCAAGGCAGGCTTCTCTTCTCAAAACTGAACTGCTTTAAGTGAAGTGAAGACCAGATGAAGAATGAAACCTGAGCAACAATAGGGGCTGAGTCTGATGAAGCGCTGACCTTCTCCTGTGGATCGTTTCCTGCCTTACATCCTACTGTGAAACAAGCAAACAAGATGATGCCAACGTACTGTCCTACTATGTCATAAGAGTGTGAATTTGGACAAGGCCAAACCAAGTTCACTGTGGGAGGTCATACAAAAACAATAACACACTATTTATTCCTGTATCTCCATGGATTATATTAACTATAGTAATTCTGAATACAATGCTTGAATATGCAGGCTTTTCAGAATATTTGAAGTCTACTATGAAAAAAGCTGAAGACACAATGTTTTTTCCTTTGTACATTTTTTAAAACAAATCCTCATCTTTGCTGTTTGTAAGTCTTTGTATTTTCTCCCAGTTATCACTGTCTATAGACCTTTTGAAACCAAAACCTAGAATTCCACTGTTACATATTTTGTGGTGGCAAAACAGTTCTTAACACTACAAACAAAGATATCTTCTTGAAGTTTTTCAAGCCTTCTTTGGTTTTAGATATTAGGACACATCTTCAGAGGGCTTTCAAAGCTAAACTATGAGGATATGAGACAAACAACTCATGTCAAATTTTAATATACTTAATACTGAACCTCTCCTAACTATATTCCTCTTTCCATATCACCAAATATTTTTACCATTCCCCTTGAAAATTCTTAAGGAGTTGTCTTTCATTACACCACGTTTGGGCACACATGGTTTTAGTTGAAAACTGTTTTAAAAACTTACCCTGAAACATGCAACAGCAGTAGCATGTAGAAGACAAAGAAGAGGTTGTGAGTATACCAGAAGATGTCATAATTAGATACTCTGGAAGCACAAATCAGCTTATTTCAGTCATTTACGTTCATTGCATTGAGAAAGTGCATAAATCATTGCAAAACAAATCACAACCAAGGAATCCTGAAGTGTGAGTTATGTAAGATTTATCTATTGCTATCAGGTTATTAACTGACCATACAAAACAAAGAGTCAAAATTCATGACAAACAGTTATTTAAAAGTCTGTTTATTTCAAATAAAGATTTGGAAAAATGAAGATGAAGTGAATATTTCAAAGTTATGACATAAGCAGTGACTAGTTTGATTTTCAATTTTGCTGTCCTTTTTAACATAAAATAATCAATGTTCCTATTCTAAGTCATATTTTGAAAAATGTTCAAAGAAAACTCAAGTAAGAAAGATTATTAAATTTTTACAGTTTCGTGTTCTTTTGTGAGTAGCATAACAAGAATAATAACCTTAGTGTTATTGCTCTGGGAAGGACAAAGAATCTGAAAATAAAGAGAATAATAGGCAGCATCCATAGAATATTCGAGAAAGGTGCAAACATTTATGAGTCTACAATGAATATGTAAATATTCTAAAATTAGAAGTAGAAGGCAGATAGTTGTAAGAGGTCCTTGGGTAATTCAAGTAGCAACCCTGAAATTCTTTAGAAACCCTCATTTAAGAGGCCAATTCCTTTAGAAACCCTCATTTAAGAGCCAATTACTTTACATAGTTTTGCTGTTATACACAATGTCACTAAAATTCTCACAGTAACCATTCTTTCATATGTGATTCTAGCTCATTCAAAATTACTAAAAATTAAATCTCAAGATCAAACTCTACTCAAATGTAATAGCTCTGATACCTTGTCTAATGTTCTTTATAAACACCTTCTTTACTTTCAAACCCAGTCATAGGGTAGAAGTACCTATTTCCCTAAACACAGATCTCATTACTTACATTTTTATTATTTTTATAAGTAAGATTGGATGTCATTCATATGTATGTTACCACTAATCCTTCTATGAAAACTCCATTTCTCTGCTTAACTCACACGGAAAAAAATTCCATTTAGCAATGTGCAAGTTCCTTGTGACTATGACTTTCCATTGGCATATTTGCTTTTTAATTATTATAATATATACTGATAGGTAAAACTTCTACAAATTTCACATTTGTAGACAGGCATATGTTTTCTTGTTCACACTGAAGTCTGACATATGTCTACTTAGGAGTTTCTCAATTAGGGGGCTGGAGAGATAGCTTAGTGGTTAAGAACACTTGCTGTTCTTGCAGGGACTCAGGTTTGATTCCCAGCACCCACATGGTGACTAACAACCATCTGAAACCCCAGTTCCAGGGGCTATAACACCCTCTTCTGGCATCTGCAGACTTTGCATGACACAGGTGCACTTATACATATGCAAGCAGAACACTCTTATACATAAAATAAAAATATTCAAAATAAAAAAGTTTCTCAATTTGTAATGGTTTAGTCATTTATTTATCACTAATTCATAATTTCCATATTATTTTCTTAGAATTATCTTTCCTCATAAGCTGGAAATGCCACCTTTATTAATTAGCAGAATTTGTACTAAGCAGGTTCCTTTTACAGGGATATTTATCCATTTTGTCCATAGATCATTTCTGCAAGTAAATTTTATGTTTTGAGTTACTGAAACTGAATCATTTAGTGTTTACCAAAGCACACTTCTTGTATTCTTCCTTGTTTGTAACATGCGCTGGACCTTGGTTCACACTAACAAATTTTGTAACACTTTGCCAAATTAAAAAAGCAAACAAGGGGCCAGATAGATGGCTCAGTGGTTAGGAACACTCAGGTTTGGTTCCAAGCACCCATACCTTGGCTAACAACCATCTATATTTCGGTTCCAGGGGAGCCAATGCCCTCTTCTGACCACACGTACTTATATGCAGACAATACACTCATATGTATAAAATAAAAATAATAAAATAATTTTTCCAAAGCAAATGAAATGACATGCCTTAGGTTTTTATAGAAATTGCAAGCTAAAATATATTTAAGGAAGAAATACACTTTTATGTAAAGACTTTATTCAAATATTCACATCCTTTTATCAGTGATATGTGTTTTTTTACAACTTTCAGTTACTTGTTGGCTGCTAGTTATTTCACTTTGCTGAAGTGCATGGCATAGTTTTATTTCATAAAAGAGGCACTGAGAGGAGCTCTTGAATATTTGTTTTGAATTTGATTATTTTTCCAGCTCCTTTGATGTAGTATTGACTTTTCCCATAATTCTCTTGTATCTACTGAGTAGAACTCATATTCACTTTTCTTGAAATGTTGCCAATATTCTGTTTCATTTAATAATTTTTTGGCTGGGCATGGTGGTGCATACCTTTAATCCCAGCACTCAGGGGGCAAAGGTAGGTGGATCTCTGTGAGTTCAAGGCCAGCCTGGTCTACACAGTAAATTCCAGGACAGCTGGGGCTACAGGGAGACCCTGTCTCAAAAAGACTTAATAATTAAATTTTCATTTCTTAAATGCAAGTAATGGTTGAATTTTTAAAAACCTCCTTGTTTTCCTCTTTGAAATTTCCTTTTTAAAGCCCTGCATCTGATGTTTTACTGTTAATTGTGCTTTTAGTTCTGGCTTTCAAATTTTTTAATTCTATAAAGAAGTAATTGAATACTAGGTTCTTTACTATGATTATTGTAATTCATAAATATATGTCATGGTTAAAACTATTTTAAAATATATTGAAATGAGAAAATGTGTGTACTCTTCTTATCTACAAAATATATCAATTATTTTAATAGATGGGCACATGAATGATCCTTGAATTAGTAGAGTGTTTTTTCCTATTAGAAATGTTTATTTGCTTGGTTTCTTTAACACATTTTTCCTCAATGGTAAATAGAAAGGGTAGAAGATTATCTCTAAATTTACTTTGGAGAAATAGTTTTTCACAGTAAAATGTAGAGAAAAGCAAATTAGGTGTTATAATGTTCTTTAAACAAATAAGAATGATAATGTTCAAAATGAATGAATGAAGTGAGGCTGGGGAGATGGGCCAGCAATAAGAGCTTTTGGTGCTCTTCTAGAGAACCTGACTTAGGTTCCCAGCCCCAATGTCTGATGGCTTACAGTCACCTATAGCTCCAGCTCCAGGGGATCCAGTGCCCTCTTGGCCTTTGCAGGCACCCGTACACACATGCCATTCACATACATACAAATAAATAATCAATAAATCAATAAATAAAATTTTAGATGTTAAAAAGAAAGCCACATCACAGTCGAGTAGAAACTGATATTCATATTCCATTTAGAAACTGTCTCTTAAGAATATTTTTCTAGATTTAGAATGACTACATTTTCTTATTGCTGTAAATAAATATATGAAATGTCATAAATTTCCTTGAAAACTAAAACTTAATAAATCTTCATGAATTATTGCCTCCCCGGCATAAAAAATATATCACCTCACAAAATTGACACCCTCATATACTAGCAACATTTCTCTTCTTAGTGAAGAAAACTATAGCTTCCATGAAAATCCTGAAAGCTTACCACTTGACATAACTCTATTATACAGAGAAGTCTGTCCTTAACATGTAATTTAAAATGTAGGTAAAGACAGAAAGATGAGTATTTGCTTGAGAACTGAACAATGAAAAACTTAGACTGGGCCCAAAACATCAACAGCATTGGTTTTGAAATCTAAGCTACATAAGAATGGTGATATTGTGACTCAGCGGTTAAGAGCACTGATGGTTCTTCCAGAAGACCGAGGTTCAAATCCCACCACCCACATGATGGCTAATAACCATCAGTAACTCCAGTTTCAAGGGACCCAATGCCCTATTCTGTCCTCAGGAGGCACTGAATGACCTGGGTGCACTTACCTACATGCACACAGTACAGACACACATAAAATAACAATTAAGCAATTTTTTTTTTAAAATTGGTGATTTAAAGAAAGAAGGGTGATAGACCATGCCATCAGAAGAGAATGATAAAATACATTAATGTGGAAAAATGTTTTGAACATAATTTGAGACAAAGCAAGGTTGTTGGAGGTCGGATGGAACATAGAAAAGGAGAGCTACAGGTATGGTCAATAAAAATAAACCATGGAAAGAGTGAAATACTAATTGCTTGTGAAGTTTGGGAGTGTGTATGTATACAAGTAGCTGTGTACAGAACTGTAACAAAAGAGTCCTTTTAGCACGCTATTTTGCAATTATATTCAAAGCATTAGCATTTTTTCATTACATTTCATATCTCAGATAATCAAATAATGTAAGTTTTTAATTATGAGAAATTGTGGTTTAATTATGAGAAACATTATGGCTCTGTTTGGCTTTGTTTTTTTTTTATTTTGCTTCTGCTTTCTGCAAGCAGAAAGCTTACTCAGAAATATGAGACTATATTCTGAAATGGAATGTGCTCACCAGAAAAAAGACATGGAAATCCTATTGATAATCTATATCTGAAATTAATCAAAATATTTTAATTTGTATGGTGTGGGTGTGTGTGTGTGTGTGTGTGTGTGTGTGTGTGTGTATGTGTGTCCTGAAGTTGATATTGGGTGTCTTTCTCTGTTGTTCTCCATCTTCTTTTTTTGAGTCAGGGTCTCTGACTGAAATATGAGCATAGTTATCTACCTAGACAGGTTAGCCAGAGAGCCCCACTTATCCACCTGTCCATGCCCATCTCCATCCTGGTCAGTGCTGGGGTTGCAGATGTGCATCATGCCTGGCTATTATATGGACCTTAGGAGTCCAATTCAGGTTCTCAAACTTGTGTGCAAGCACTTTACCAACTGAGGCATATCCAGAACTCCATCAAGAAATTTTAAAGAGAAAAATGAATGTTAATCTGAGTATTTCCAACTATTTCAGCATAGGTCAATAATGTTTCCAATACTATCAGTGGGAATAATTTTTAAGTCAGGTATCCCTAGGAACTCCCAACATTTGTGGGTATGTAGTTAAATTTAATCTCATGTCCTATTAAGATCTTGAAGAATTTCAGTTTCCTTGGTATCCAACTGAAGTTTTCATATACAATGCCTTACAAGTAATTTAAAAAAATTAAATAAATAAATGTTACATAGAATGCTTCTGCTTCAGTCATGGTTATCCAGAATAACGCCCTAACAAGAGTTTTCCTCCATCTATTAAAACGAATGTTAACTAGAGAACCTGAACATCAACGGAGAGTGCATAACAGGACAGTCACTCTAAGTCTTACCTTATCGCATAGGTAGAAGCTGTAACCATGAGAAAGAGCACCAACACCATGCAGACGCCAGTTAGTCCAGGAACTGTAAGAATGATTGAAAGTACGTTTTAACTTAAAATATACTGGGAAGAAAGTACAAAACATTATTACCTTAAAGTTCAAAGTATGCTGCTCCATAGAAAGCCAAATTCAAATTGCATATATATATATATATATATATTCCCCATCAAATAAGCCTTGAAAATCAGTGTAACCTCAAAGTATTAAAGACAAATCAGCCTCTGTTTATTGAATAAAAGAATATATATTTTAATGTTTTATTTATTATTTTTATTTTATGTGTATGAGTGTATTGCCTACATGTATATAAGAGACTGGTATAGTACAATGTCCATGGAGGTCAGAAGAAGGCATTGGATCTCCTGTAACTAGAATTATTGTTGGTTGTTAGTCATCATGTGGGTGCTGGGAATCAAATCCAGGTCTTCTGAAAGAGCAGTCAGTACTCTTAACTGCTGAGCCAGCTCTCCAGCCCCAGAAGAGTATATTTTGCACCACCAAATGTACCACTCATAACATTTTATGGATACTTCTAAAAATACATAGGGCATCAAATGCCGTTAATTAATGCTAGGGGCACAGTCAGAGCTCTTATGATTTCTCTTTTTTCCTACCATTGTATTCCATCTTCTTCACTCTGCTCTATTCTTTTATGGAACTAGTAGTCCTTCACATTCAATTTTAAACAACTTTTCAGCCTTCACTATTTGGAATAATTGCCCCAGCATTATTCACATAAATCACAGAAATTTACAAGTCTATGCCTCCCAAGTGCTGAGATTAAAGGTGTGCATCACTACACATGAATTAATTGGAATTTTTTTTTAAATTATCGAGCTTTTGTATATTTCATACAACTGTTAATCAAATTTAGACTCCCTTCCCCATCCACACCCCCACCACTGGATTGCATATATTCAGTTACACGTTAAGTCCTATCCAGTCAAGCATTTTTTCCCAGATGTCCTTCAGTGCAAATTCATCCACTGGAGTCTAGTCAGTCTATCTAGAGATTGTAAGGACTACTCTCTGTCACCCAGTAGTAATCAGTCTCCAACAGTTCCCAGACTAGGGCCAGCCTACTGCCCATTCTCTGGATCCACTCTGGGCCTTTGTCTGAGTTGGCATGGGTCCTTTACTAAATACCACGATTGCCATATTTTTAAGAAAAAGAATTAGCTTAAAGCTTTTTTAATAGAAGAATGAGTTTATTTTGGCTTATAATTCCAGAGGGCTAGATTCTGTAATGATGGGACAGGCATAGCAGCAGGCTGCCGGATCAAGAGCTTGAATAATCATGTTCATCTACTCACAGGAAGGAGGGAGTGAATAGGAAGTGAGGTGAAGCTATAAATTCTCAACACCAGTCCCCAGTTATAGCTGTGCTTTTTCCATCAAGTCTCCACATCCTAAAAGTTCCATTACCTCTCCAAATAGCACCACCAATTGAGGCTCAAATGGTCAAATACATGAGCCAATGTGGGACATTTCTAATTCAAACTACAACATTAGGTCTTACAGCACTTGTGCTGAGATGAAAGCATGAGAAAAAGACAGGAGGCGATCGGAGTGAAATGCCCTGAAATGAGAGACATTAGGGTACCATGTCTTCTCAAACCTGAGCCCATGGGCACAAAGTGGGGAGAGGAAGAGGAAGGCATCGCCTGTCTAGGTGGTGTCTGGGGACTTTGGGCAGGTTTGCATGACCACTCTGTACCTGAATTTCCTCAACAACCCATAATATAGTTGACATCTTCCCCAGAGAGCACATGGAAAGACTAAATGAGATGTTGTGTATTGTAGATACTTAAATCATAGAATACCCCTCTCAGCTTCTTTCTGGAATAAGCATTTTTTCTTCCAGATTTAAAGACATGTGTGTTCTCTTGAGAATTTGACCTGCTAGAAATTTAAACCATTGGTTATATTTTGGGTTGCCTTGATTTGTGTTCATTTTTCACTTATTTAAGTATTTTTATTGAATTTTTGTGTATTTCATACAATACATCCTTCTATTTACAGACAAGTATGCCAATGGCCACTTATCAAAGAAGTTTCTTTTGCAACAGAGGGAGACTATTACAGAGTTCCACAACTGGTCACGCACAGAGAAAAAGTGTCTATAAAAACTTAAAATTTAAAAAAAAATTATGATTTGAACAAAAGTTGTAGATCTCGTAACGGGAGAACATTGTTCTTACTAGACATCTTAGGCTGGCAAAGTAAAAGCCCCATGCCTGGAATGGACTCCTCTTTTGAAGCTGTTGACTAAGGATACCATAGGCCATTAAAAATACTGACTGGCTCTCTGTGAGTTCAAGGCCAGTCTGGTCTACATAGTGAGTTCCAGGACAGCTGGGGCTACAGGGAGACCTTGTCTCAAAAAGACCAAAAAAAAAAAAAAAAAAAACTGACCATTGACCCTGCTCTTGATTACCCAACAGAGCTTGTTGATAAGGCCCTGCTGCTAAACAATTGCATAGATGAGCTATACGACACACAAGGAGAAACCATGCTAGAGGTGATGTCAATACCTCAGTTCTACTGTATAGCTTTCATAGTGCTGTAGGTGCTATGTATGCTACCTGAAGAAAAAATCAGTCATCAACGTTACCCAGCTGTGAGCTACAACAACCTAATATTATGGGAGTAACCACCCATATTTTAATTGGATTTAAGCTCCACTTCATAGCATGGAGCCCAAATCTGACACTGATAGTCAGGCCTAGGAATCTGAGGTTAGACAGGTCACGATATATTGTTATGCAATTAGATTAATGCATCTCTTGACACTCAGCAGAGAGCTTGCTTATGCAGCAGTTGGTGATGAACACAGAGAACCACAACTGGCTAACAAGCCAAAACAAGAGACTGCAGAGTGCTTATTCCTAAATTGGGCACCTATATCGAACTTTTTCCTCCCAAGGCTCAGGAATCATTGCAGAAGAGTGGGCGCAAAGACTGTAAGAGTCGAAGGTGGTGCATGAAGGAAATGAAATTTTCCAGACAGCTTAGAAGTTACTCATATGCACACACAGAAATGGTGAGAGCGTGCACAAGTCTCACATAAGCTAAAGTCAGACAAAACTCTCAGCGCAGATGTGGCACAGTGGATTAGAAAGCTCAACCCTACCTGAGGTACTACTGACAGTGGATGGCTCCTGGGAGGGGGAGAGTCAGTCTCATTTAATGATGAGACTTTTGGTAGGTTGAACAGTTGAAAAGGCTTCAGTTGATGAACCTATGCTGAAAGGAAATTTGACTTTATACGCCTTTGTGTGAGTCTGTGTGTGTGTGTGTGTGTGTGTGTACGCGTGTGTGTGTGTGTTCATTAGAGGACATGAAATTGTAGGGAGTTGTAAGGGGGGGTACAGATTCAGGGGGGATCTGATCAAAATATATTGCATGAAATTGGCAAGGATTCAATTAAAATGAGTGAAAGAAAAAAGAAAAGAAAATTATTGTGCTGGTATTTTAAGAAAGCTTGCAGACATTTCTTCTCAATATCAAAAACATTCCAGGGTCACTGAGATAGCTCAGTGGGTAAAAATGCTTGTCCTCATGTATGACAGCTGAAGTTAGCTCCCCATATCTCACATGGTGGAAGAAGAAAACCAACTTCTATAACTTGTTCTCTAATCTCCACATACATGCCATGGCATACATGTGTGCCCCCCCCCAAAAAAGTGAAAACACATAAATAGATAGAAACATTCTAAAACCAAGTTTCTAGCATACAATTAAATTCTAAATAAAAAAGGAGAAAATTTGCAAACATGTTAAAATTATTGGTATGTTACACAGCTAAAAATACAACAAATTTAGTCCACATAACATGCCCAGAATGAATAGCTGATATACCATATCTAAAACAGCTAAAATCTCGATATACTCCTTATTATCTTATTGTTGCAAAATTAAGTACAGTCCTATTTGTATTATATATGTACTATTAAAATCATATAAGCTCTAATAATCTTTTTAAGAAATATTTTATTATTTTTATTTTATGTGTGTATTGCACACATGTATGCAAGCATACCTGTGTCCTGTAATGCCTATGGAGGTCAAAAGTGGGTGTCAGATCCCCTGGAACTGGAGTTATAGTTGTTAGTCACCATGTGGGTGCTGGTTACTGAACCTGGGTCCTCTGTAAGACCAATGTTCTATCTGTGAGACTCTCTTAAGTTGTCTCCAGAACCCCAGTGTTCTTAACTGCTGAGCCATCATCTCTCCAACCAGAGCTCTAATAATTCTTAAATGTTCCATCTGAGAGACTCTCTTAAGTTGCCTCCAGAACCCCAGAAAAGAACTATTCAAATGATTCTTTCTGGAGAATTATACACATTTCCACAGATATAATCTATGGAATAGAAAAGCTAACACAGACTGGGAGCCACTTAAGAAATAGCCAAGCCCAGCACAGTATAAAGACAGTGCAGGTGTGCATCACTCGGATTCCAAAGGATTTAGAATAACTAAAGTAATGGTATCAGAACCCTCGGTATTCTAGAAACACATTTCACTTGTAAAGAGCTACATGAAAATGAAGGAGTTAATCTTTGGCTCCTTAACATCTGAGTACTTTTCATGCCTCTGGCTGATGGGCCTAATCCAAGTCATGTCTTCTGTACATTTCCTTCATAGGGGATTCATTTCACAATGTCCTTTCTTACAAAACAGGAACCCCACGGAATGACCCAGCTGTGAGTATCTACTCAAACAAGCAAAGGTATAACACACAAAGACACTTTTGGGAACATTCAAAGCTGTTTTGACTTTAATCATCAGGGAATATAAATAATTCACATCTGCATCAATAGATAGGTAGATACAGTTATCATTTTATCTTTATCTGAAAAATTAACAAGCAAATTAACAAGCAAATTAACAAACAAATTAAGCATCAACATATGATCCCCAAATTCTAGACTAAGTGAAAGGTGTCAATTTGCTTCATACACTGTAAAGTAGAAACCCATAATTACTTTTAAATAAAAATTTAGAATAATTACATTAGCT